CAGAGCTGCGCCGCATCACGTGACTCGCCGGAGAGGCGCGGGAACCTTGAGTGGAGGGGGGGAGCCCCCCTCCCTCTTGACCGTTCGCGCGCGCTCCGTCACGTGGGCGGCTCCTCGCTCCCTATTGGGCGCCGCGGGTGTGCGGGGCGCGTGACACGGCCCCTCCTCCTTCAGCCCCGGGCGGCGCGGGATGGCGGAGACGGGGGCGCTGGGAATGACCCCGGTATCCTATACAGTTCAGCCTCTGGCCGAATTCCACCGCGTCAACTAGGCCATGGCACTGAGTGCCACGTCCCGCCTTTCCTTACGCGCCTCCAGGAACGGTGACTCCACCACCTCCCCGGGCAACTTATTCCAACGCCCAGTCACGCTTTCTGTGAAGAAAATTCCCTGGCATAGCTTGAGGCTTTGTCCTGCTGTCCTGCCACTAAATTACCTGGGTGGAGAGGCCGACCCCCACCTGGCTCCACCCTCCTTTCAGGGAGCCGCAGAGAGCGATGAGGTTCTCCTCATGAGGTTCCTTTTCTCCAGGCTGAGCAACCCACTCAACCCCAAACTCCCTTAGACTCTCTTTATAATTCCAAACCCTTCCCCAGCTCCATTTCCCTTCCCTGGGCCCACTCCAGCATCTCAGTACCTTTCCTGGACTGATGGCACCTGTCTGCCTCCGCGTCCTCAGCGGCTCGGAGCCGAGGGCAAAGCTCAGCCCAGGCTCCCTTGGCTCAGGGAGGTGGCTCAGCCCAGGCTCCCTGTCCCGGGGCTGTGGCAGGATCCCTGCTGGTCTGAGTCCAGATGGATCCCAGAGACAGGCACAAGGGTCTGCCGACACATGCACTCAGCGACTTCTCTTAATTCCAAAGTATTTAGGCAGCCTATAAACTGACCTTAGCATTGGCACGGTCTTGTCCCTTTACTCTTCCGTTTCAACACCTGCAAATCAAGTGGGAAGGATCCAGGAAAGGGAAGATTGGAAACCAGCCTTCCCAAGAGAAGTCTTTTGTTAACACAAACTTGTTACCAGGAAATGGCTTCCTGCTTTCTCAGAATTTCATTTTTTTCCTGCCAGTCGGTCAGAAGGCAGCTGGGGGTTGCAGGGAGTGGGGAGCTGATGGATCTGGAACATAAAGCAGTAAGGTCAAGCCCACTGGAAGTATCAATTTCTTTTTGAGGGTGGTCAATTTAAGAAAAAGATAAAATGAAGAAATTGTAATTTAAAAAGATAAAATGAAGAAATTGTAATTTTAAAAAAAAGAAAAGAAAGAGAGAAGAGACGAAAAATCAGTTTCAGTAACTGTAACTCAGTAACTCAGGGATCAAGTGTGGATGGATTGCTCTGAGAGGGAATCAGTGATGCTGAAAAATTCTGCTCTGGAATATGAGGCAAGGAAAGCACAGTGGTGGGTCCAGGGTAAAAAGAGAATTTTCTTGGCTTTGCAAAGGAGTTGTCTGTCAAGAACAGCTGCCTTTCCTGACATGGCTGGGAAATGGTGCAAAGGTGGAGCTGCATAAAAAATGTGATTTTAGTTCTGCAGGACAGCCCTGCTTTGTTGCCACATGCAGAAACCCAGTTGTTTTAACAAGCACCAGAACACAAGTCAGGGGTTTTTTTATTCACATGGGTTTATTTTTCTTATTATTAGTTATCACTAGTTAGTTTTCACACTAACTTTATCATCCAATAAGTCCTTAAAAAATAGTTTCAGGCACTTTATACTGTGAGCTTTACAAGGAGCTGAAACAGCTACAAAAGTGCTCTGTGTGGAGCAGAAATAATTTTATTATCTTGCAAATAACTAGTTTCAGTTCTTTTTCTCTCAGTGTGGCTTTTTGTAAAAGCCAGCAATAACAAAAAGCAACCTTCTTCTAACATTTCTTTTTCAATAAGGAAAAGGGTTATGAAACCTGATATCCATCCTGGAAAAGTTATGACCGACTGGAAATGTTATGAAAGCATTAAATAGGCCAACCAGGCAAAGCAATGCTATTCAGAGACAAGTTTTCTAGAACAAAAGGAATTATTGCCCAAGACACAACACAGATAATGTGTGTCGCTGGCCTTGGTGGGTCAGCTCGGGTGCTGATCCCTCTCTCTTACACCTACAGCCTCAGTTTACATCTCTTGATATCAGTAGCAGGTGACTGTGAAGGGCTTTTCTCAAGTGACCAAAGTGGGGACACCAGAAATTAAAAATGGAGAATAGCTTGGCATGGAATTATACCCCAAACCCAAATGCAACCTGATTCTGTAATTTCATTCCTAACGATATATTGTCAAACCCAGAAATCACAAAGGTGTGCATAGTCATAGAAAAACCCAAGTTTATCTATGGACTAGATATCAGGAATTTATGATCTTTATCAGGAATTTATGATCTTGTTAATTTTGGATTTAAAATCTTGTTCTGTGTCTGCAGCTCTGTAAGTGACCACAAGAGTGAAGAGTCGTGATGGCCACTGTCAGTGACCTGTTATAGGATATTAAAGGAAGAAAATTCCTCAAAGTGTTTCTTGGTTTTCTCCTCACTAAGCATTATTTTTTTTTTTCCATCAGTAGGTTAACTGTTTTCATTCAAAGTGTGGAGTCCTAGGACATGATGCCAGCTAAATCTGATGTGAAAACAATCTGGAGCTAAATGTGACCTGCGTGGAGCTGACATCTCACTCCAGCTCCTTTCTGCAGTGCTCACCATCAGCTTCCTGTGCTACACTAAACAAACCTACAGCTGCTGTTCAGCAAAACCTGTTTCAAAGTGATCCACATGCAAAAGGGTGTCGAGGGCCACCCCCTAAATCAAAGCCAGAACTCTGACATCTGCTGTTTGGCAGAAGCTGATTCCACTGGAGATAGTGTGGGAAAACATTGACACTCTGTGGCCAGACAGATAAAATGCAACTTCTGAAATTTCACAGGTTTTCATCACTTTCTTCCATTTTACCAAACAGAAATGTAGTAAAGAACAGTTTGTAGCTTTTATTCATGTTGCTAATTTCCAGTATCTTTTCAGTAAATTTTGTTTATTGGTATAAAATGTTCTAAACAAGGAAGTGAAGGCAAATAATTAAAACAAATGATAAAACAAAACTTTGCATCCAAACCTCCTGAATCTGAGGAGCACTGAGAGTGAGACCCCGTTGTTGCTCTGGAGCCTGTCAAGTTGCACAAAGTACATTTTCAGGTCCAAGCTTGCACTGTCATTTTAATCCCATTTTCTTGCTGTGGAGCTGGAACAAGGGAAGGCCACCTTAAAGGGAGATGTATTTATGTATTGCAAAGCAGTATTTCCTCCAGACTAATCCAGAGAGATTAATTTCATCAGCATATCTCCAAAGTACAATTTTTACTTCCCATAAAAGTAACAGATAAGATATTAGCTATATAATATTTAGTACAGGTAGGGAGTAGGGTTAAGCATCCTTAGATCTTTAGGGCTTCCTCTCCATAGAAAACAAAGGAATACCAAAAAAGCCCCCCAAAAGCCCGTCCTTGCTTCATGGCTTTTACATCCAAGAGATGGAGAAGCACATCTTAGGATACAGGAGCCTTTTTTTGGCACACGTAACAGTGATGTTTTTGTAAGCATACACATTTTTTGCTCCTTTTTTTTTTCTCTTCAACTAGAGACAATAATAATGAAGAATTGAGCTTAAGGCCTCTCACAATAGTCAGAGCTGTGTTTTAATTAGTTTCTAAGGTGAAAATGGCTTATGCAGTATGTGGCATAGATGAGTGTACAACCTAAGCTAGGATAGAGACCAACTGTAAAAAGAAGGGTTAATGAATAGTATCAGGAAAGGGAATAATGGTGTCAGGATCAGGCAAGATGCCAAAGAAACTTAGTTTTAAGTTGTCCTGAGGAGACAAAGCTAAGATGTTGGGGGCCAAGGAGGAGGAGATCTGCAAATTTAAGGCATATGAAGAAGGACCTGGAATGAGAGTTTCAGTGACATAGAAGAATACAGAGCACTGCTTATTTATGTGGGAAAAACTAAAACAGTTTGGGTTGCACTTTGGTTTGGCAACTTTGGTTTGGCAACTTTGGTTGCAAGTATGTCTAGAGAGAGCACTTGCATTCTGATAAAATTCTAAGCAGCTTTGGAAATTATAAATTCAGAGACTAGAGTAATAATATTCATGAAAAATATTTTACAGTTATATACAAAAGACATAGTAATACAAGCAGAAATCAAATCAAGACAAAGAGTTTTCCTTTCAATGTCATCCTGCTGTTGAAGCACCTGCCAGCTAAGGGATGAAAACATGAGGGGAAAAAGCCTTTTCTCTGTGCCACATTTCTCCACGTTCACCTTGTTGTCAGGGTGCAGTGCAGGGAGTTACATCAAGGTCTGATGGTCAGGACCTGTCCCACTGTCCCCAGCCAGGGAGCAGGCAGGCTTGGGGCACATGCAGGACACCACCAGCCTTGGCCATCAGGCATCTGTGTTGAGCAGGATCTCACACCCTTGGGCATGCTTGTGTCCTAGAGGCTGCTGTCCTTCAACCCAGGGATGGGTCCCAGCAGGCCAGACAGGTCCCCACCCCACTGAGAAGAGACAAGGACCAAGCTTCCTCTATTGGAAACTGTGACATGGCATCAAGCAAGGGTGTAGCAGGTGAGTTTTTGTGCTTTCTAGCTAGAGTCGTTCCCTGCTGGAAAGAGTTAACTTTGGAAAGTTCTATCTGCTACCAGTTATGCTACCAAAACCCATTTTCCTTCACAAAATGTTTGTCCCAGGAAATGAGGGGAAAACAAGGACCTCGGGATGAGCTGGGCATGAGAATGATGTCCTGTTTCAAATCCCACCAGGAATGCCCTGGAGGTACCAACACCTCTCAGAATGCTTGTTGGGCACCTGAAGAACAAGTGCTTAACATCTGATGTGTCTTTTGTTGCCTGAGTCCTGCCATTCTGAACTTTAGGGTGTTGGTACAACTTCAGGCTATCATATCTTGTCAAGAGACATCACTGCAGGCAGGCTTTTCTAGGGCATGTCATAGCCTGTGGCTGCCTTGTGTAACTTCCAGACTATGCTAAGCCATGTTTCAAGCCTCTGGGAATTTGTCTTGGGGAGGAAGCAGCTTGCCTTCAGCTGCCAGCTCTCACAGCTACCCACTGACCCTGATGGAACTGGCAGCTTCCTGGGCTCGTATGGATGCTAAATCTGAACCACAGTGCCTGTACAAATTACAGGCCACATAGCTCCTCAGGCTGCCTGAGAGAGTGGCCTGGGAAAAATATGAGAAGGAATTAAAACAATTCTCAGGGACGCTAAACAGCCTTGCAGGTGTTGTTTTGCAGTCTTGTTTTCTCTTGCAGGAGAAGGCCAGGGGGGTGATGAGTGCCCCTGACCAATGATGGTAATGTAGCACTTTGCTAACTAATAAGAGTTTCCTTTCTGTACTTTCCACGTATCTGTCTATAAGACAGGCCTGAAGCAATAAACTAGAGAATTCTCGTGTTGAAACTCCCTTGAGAGTTCATGTCGTTCTTTAAAGCCGTTCCCAATCGGAACGACAGGCTCGTGCCCGGTGAGTCTGTTAGCAGGAGTGAGTTTCCTGTGGGCACACCAGAAATTGGGGGCAGAACAAGAGGAATGGAGCAGGATGCAGAAAAGAAAAAGGCCAAATTTCTCTAAGCATGAACCATCACATTTGGCTTTGCTGTGGTTTTAGCCTGGGGCCCTGGCTAGGTCAAATCCAGTGATCCCAGCAGGTCCACAAGGAACTCTCACAGGCCAAAAAGAGAGAAGTCCCCTTCAAGGTGACTGCCAGGTCACAGGTGGACTCTCCAGGTCAAGACACCTGCCTGTGCCCAGCGGGCTTTCTCACCAGCTGCTGGTCTGAACGTGCCCTCCATGCTTTCCACATATGATACAATGAAGAGATCCTGCAGAAAACACAGGCAGGGTTGGGTGCATGGTGGCTTTGGTGGCTTTTCTCAGGGACACGTGCATGTCTGGATGGGGACGCACACTGGCTGGACTGAGATGTACTTGTTGTTCCAAGCAGATGCCATTTGGATGAACACTCACAGTAAGGACCAGAACTACACCTGTTATTCCTGGCTCTGTGAAGGGTTGTCTCCCTGGAGCTGCCTTCCAAAGAGGTGCCACAGGTTGGAACAAATGTGAGTTAATATAAGGATCAGGACAAAATCTCTGCAATTGGAATATTTGGGGCTTGGGAAGGAGGGGGGATTCTCTACTATATTACTAGTACTGAATACTGCTTATTTTGGGATGAATATCTAGGAAGCAGAGAAATGCATGCCTGAAAAACAGCAAACAAATAAATTGACTGAAATTCTGTGAAACTATAAATGGAACTAGAATTGCTCCTGAGAACCTGGGGACATGAAATACAAGACAAGAACATTTATTCTGTCCACAGAATACACAGCTTGAATATGGGCTGTCCTTGTCTTTGAACACAATGTCTGAATTATTTAGTACCTGGCCTTTCTATTCCAGCAATAGATGCACTCAGAACTAATCTTGTCTGCTTTTACTTTCTTTTCTTTCATTCTATCTTAAAAAGATTTGTAATTGCTCCTATGTATTATTTATTGGAAATACTATGCTTCTGTAAAATAGCTGTGGGTGGAACAGGCTCTGTAGGCACAATTTAAACCTTGTATTTGGAATAATTGTCAGGAAGAAAGAAAATAGGTTGCACTTCAATACATAGGGCATAAACATGTAAAAAAGAAAAGAACATAGACTTTCCTCTATTTGCCCATGGATTACTGTGTTCTGTGCCATAGAAAACCTGAAGGGAAACATCAGTAGAACTGTGCTTAGTTGGATCCTTTATTCTGGCTTTATTTCTTCCTTTTTCCTTTTTCTCTTTCCCTTTCTTTTTTTTTTTTTAGAAGCAGCCTTCTTCTGTAGCATGTGAGGGAGTGATGCAATCAAAGACTCCATCACATCGTATTTCAAATGCTCAATTATTCACTGAATGATAGAGTCTCCACCCTTGCTTCCTGTACCTATATTTTAATTTACTTGAAAGAAATTACAGTGCTGTGAATGCCTGGTCAGATTAAATAGATGTGTGTCACAGCTACCTGCCAAGTTTCAGGGAAGATGAGCAGCAGCAAAGGCAGGAGAAACAAGAAAAGATCAACACACAATTCACTTGACCCACAGTTATGTCTAAAAATACCAGCTATACTGATCTCAAAGGACAGTGAAATATGGGAAGGAAGGTTATTCCAAAATGGTGAACAAGCAGATCAAGGATTTATTTTAAAAAGTTAAGAATATGGACAAAAGGATAACCCTCAGACAGCAGCACACACATCAGGGTGTGAAAGCAGTGCCCTGAAGGGCCAGAATCCACTGCATATTACAATTCTCTTTGTTTTTATCCACATCCAGAGAGCTTTCTGCCAATTTTGCACTTACAGACTGGTTTTAGAAAAGACCACATGTGAACATATGCTGCACAATTTTATTGTTGAATCTTGAGAAAAAAAGGCGTATGCAAGTCCTTATCACTGTGTTTCAGTATTTAAAGGGTGGTTGCAAAGAAGATGGAGGATCCCTTTTTACAAGGAGTCTATGGAAAAAATGAGCAGCAATGGGTACAATTTACTCCTTGGGAAATTCTGATTGTGCACAAGGGGATAACTTTTCACAGCAAGAACAATCTGCTATTGGAATAGTCTCCCCAGGGGATCAGTGTGTTTGCCAGCATTGGGGGACACTTAAGATTTGGCTGCAGAGGGTGCTGAGCTTCTTTTAGACCATGCTTTTGCCTTGAAAGGTTGGTTGGACCAGATGATCCTCGAGGTCCTTCCAACTTGGTATTCCACGATTGTTAAAACCTGTCTCACACATCCACAAGCTGCATAAATCTTGTGGAGGCTCCCGGTGCCAGCCAGCTCTGTGGGTTAACAATGGGAGAGATATTTATCACCGAGGTATCTTGCAAAACATTTTGGACCCTTTGCAATCCCATGCAGCCTAAGTGAGCGGAACTCCTTGTGTTATTTTATTTCTCATGCATCTTCCTTTCTGTTAAAAGATGGAAAACTGAAGTATCTTGTCCCCAGAGGAAGAAATATGCCTCTCAGTGACCAACTGACCAGAGAGTCCCTTCCACATGCTGTGCTGAACTTCATCCCCAGCAATGCTTGTGACATGGAGGTGTCGTGGGGATTATTGCTGGGGAAACCGCATCTCCCACAGATGCATTAAAAATTCCCCTGTGGCCCCAGGGAAGCAGGAGTAAATCCCATTTTTGTCTCAGATAAAGGTGGCTAGAGATCAGTTCTGCCTTACTGCTGTGAGGTGAGCTCTGCACACCTCTGAGCAGCGTCTTAGGAGCAAAACCCAACCAATAAAGAGGGGAGATAAACACTGGCTTTGCTGGGACTCTGCTGGCTGTCATCAGCCGCTCTTGCACAAGCTAGTCTGGGAGTTGTCACAGCAGCACATTTTTGCCTCTGGCATGTAAAGTGCAAGGGGTGCTGTCTTGTTAAACAGTTTTCTGTTCTTTTAGGGGATTTTTGTACCTCCTCAGCCACAGAGGACTGACTTTGCTTCACTTAAAAAAGTTCAAATGTCGTAAATACTTTGATGTAAAGAATTTTATGGATTTTTGCCTCAGGAATGGCATTTTGACTCGTATTTCAGTGAGACATTAAAAAAGCATGCTTGTGTGCATTTTTTAAAATTGCTGTTGTTATCATTTACACAAAAGGTAGTAAAAGCTGATGAAAGAGTGATTTGTTTTCTACTTTTTAACGTAAGACTGACAGAAAAATCGCTGTCTTGTTGCTCAAGAGGCTTTCAATCCCCACCCTTGAGCTGTGATTCAGCAAATTCTCAGCGTAACCCTGATCTGAAACCCGGGTTCCTCCTTGTCCTGTCCAGGCGGGGGTGGATTTCTCCTAGACAAGCCAATGAACAGAAGCTCATTTATTTATTTATGTGGTGAGGAGGAAACTTGCTCCACAGTCTCTCCACCTCTTCCTGCAAAATGTTAGCTCTCTTTCGCACCAATCGCTTCGGGTCCTGAATGAAAACAAGTGAGCAGCAGCGGAGCTGGGGTGTAGAAACTGCTGTGTTGAACATCACTCCCTGACTCTGCTCCACACCTCATCAATAATCGCTCTCACCTCACTTGAGCTACAGAGAGAAGCAAAAGCCGGCTGCCCACTTTTCTTCAGCAAACCTAAGGCGCTCTTTCGGAGAGGCAGGACTGAGCACTCTGTTCATTTCTGACATCATCGAGGAAATACGCTTGCTTGCTATTTTTTTTTTTTGGCTGCTTTTCCCCTCCCTCCCCCCCCAGCTGCGGCAGTATCTTGATGGGGAAGCTGATCTCCAAAGGCTGGCGGAAAAGAGATGCTCGAGTTATCATGCTGGGGCTCGACTTTGCTGGCAAATCCACCCTTCTGTACAAACTGAAGAGCGGCCAGGCTGTGGAGACCTGCCCCACGGTGGGATTCAACGTGGAATCTCTGCAAACACCCTGTGGCATATCTTTCACCCTCTGGGATGTTGGCGGACAAGACAGCCTGCGGGCCAGCTGGCCCAACTACCTGGAGGACATCAACACCCTCATCTTCGTGTTTGACAGCACGGACATGTCCCAGCTGGCCAAAGCAATGGCAGCACTGGAGGAGGCCCTGAGCCACCCCGGCATGGCTGGCATCCCTGTGCTGCTCCTGGCCAACAAGCAGGACGTGCCAGGAGCGCTGGCTCCTGCCAAGCTGGGGGAGATGCTGCGGCTGGGGGGGCTGGCAAAGCACCGCTGGATGCTCCGGGGCTGCAGTGCCCACAGTGGCCAGGGCCTGCAAGAAGTCCTGGCCATCCTGGGAATGCTCCTGCGGGGCTCAAAGCAGAGCTCCTTATCCCAGGAGCAGCCCATCATGGGGGTGGCAGAGAGGAGGTGAGCTCCAGAGCAAACCTGAACCTCAGTGGACCCTTCCCACTCACGGCTGCCAGCAGGTTTGTCACGGAGGATTCCAGCCTCCAGGCACCCCCTACAAGGAGTAGAGCTGGAGCTGGCACACACTGTGAAATACCCAGCTCCTCGCTGCCAAAATCCACCAGGAGGATCTCTGAGCAACACTCCCGTTGTGGAGCAGTTTTGGCTGTATCTCTTGGACTCTCATCTCTGGCTGCAGCTTGTCCCACTGTCACCGTGTTCCACTCATCCACTGCTCGTGTGGGTCCAGAGGTTCAGCAAGGATGTTTTTTAACACTTATGGATTATAACAGAGATGTGTGCAAGGGACAGAAGTTTTCTTCGTGCTTCAGCTGCCAGCCCAGATGCACCTATTCAGATGGGATGATCCCCACATGGGGGGAGCTTGGATGTGCCCCTTGCTGCTTCTGTCTCAGCATGAATCACATGTTCATTGGCTGGGAATGCAGGACGGCACTGAAAGGAATGGCTGATCAGGAGCAGTGTAAGCTCGGGAGTTCAAATGGACAAGCAACTAATTGGTTTTAGTGTGGCATGTACAGGTATAATAATCTATAGGCTGTGGAAGCAAGCTGGGATTTGATGGTGTAGTGCAGTTCAAGGATGTATGTATATTAATTTATGCTTTTCTTGTAATGGTTCTTTCTTTCTCCATTCATCATTTTTATCAAACAATTATTTCATGAAAATGGTCCTTCATTTTCCTTGGATTATGTTTAAATATAAAGAAATAAGATCTGACTTCAAGCTGCTTGGAAATACGTCTCTATAGCCAGTCAACCTCTGAATATCCTCATGGTGGTCTGCACAGCCAAGACAAAACCCTGTCTCTCAGACTTTTGAAATTGCATGAGACGACTCATTCATTGGTTGTTAACCATGTGCACTTTTGGGCACAGGCAGGCTGGTGACCAAAGATGTCTCCACTTTCAGCTGTGTCCAGGGCAAATGAAAACCTGGCAGCTCTCGGCAGGACCAGGTCACATGTGGCGGTGATGGTCTTTGTCCAATCCTGCTCAACCTGCCTTTGTAAAGACCTATAAAATGTGTGCCAAAATTCTGTTAGCCAGAGCTAAAATTAAAATATTTCATAGTCCCTGCTTCATTACTAAATGAATGTGGGAGGGATAGGATTCAACATTTTTATTTCTGTTTTCTATTTCTGTTTCTATTCAGAAATCAGCTACTTTCAAGGAATGGTATACTCAGCCTTGAAAAATCATGGAGAAATACACGGCAAAATCCTCTTCTGTTCATAGCAGAGTATTTTACAGTTGTTAAAGAATTAATTGCCCAGCTGTTACTGGTGCTGTTATTAGCCACACTTGGTAGAAGGCAGCAGCTGGAATAGAGAGCTCAAAGTCACAAAGAAACAGAATCAGACATTTATAGGAAAATCCCAATAAAATAATCCTTCCCAAGTGTTTCAGCTGCATTACTGTAGAACTACTACGGGCTATAAAACAGTCCTGCAGCATCCATGTGGCCTAAGCAACCACAGTTACAAGTGTATTTAAACAGCACTGAATCATACAATCAATTACATGACCTGTGTGCATGGTGAGGAGGACAAAATCATATCCTCAAATCTTTGCAGGTGACATAAGCTGGCTGATCTACCTCCAGCTTGTTGCAGGTGGTCGTTTTTTGCCTCGAACACACAAGGCTCCAACATACCTGTTGGCCATTTTGGACAGGTGTTCTAGAGGCACAGCGTGAAAAGTTTTGTGCTGCATTGCCATGCCAAAAAAAAAATTGTCCTTGTTGAGTTTGCTGGTGTTTTGGTCTTGTGTCTCACATGGTGCAAAACAGAGAACAGTGCATTGAGGTAAATTCAACAGAGACTGAAAGGCTGTTGTGGTTTTGTCTGCAGTGGACTCTAAAGGATTGTCTGCTGGTAGTTGAAAGAGGCTCTGAAGCCTTCCCATTTTCCTGAGTGTTTTTTAAGCTCTTAAAAAAAAGATAAAAAATAGGCTCCTCTGGCAGCAAATAGAGGTAACTGCCAGACTTTGGTAGACATCACCAATTAAAAATGAAAACAGCAAGGTAGGAGGTGGGGAAGAAAGTGCAATGGGAATCCTGATGAAGCAACATTCCAGTTACTGAAATTGTTCTCGCTTCCCCTGAAGCAGTAATTTGGCAAAACACCCCATCTCATGGGGCATCATGTGATTTACCATCCTTGTTTTCTGGGATAAGGCTTTTCTGGACACTGGGTCACATTACTCAGCCCATTTTATGCCATTGTTCAGAGACTGCCAAAACAATGATGGGTCATAATATTTGAAATAACAACACAGAGTACTTCTAATACTTCTAATGATTTCTCTTTTCTCCTGTTTTGGACAGCTGCTAAAACAAGTCAGTCTAATGAGCACTGCACTGCTCTAATCAAAGGCTTGCAGGACACTCACCCAACAGCACTTAAATGTTTCGGTGTCAAAACTCCTGCCTGGCTCAAAGGGAGCAGCACGACAGTCTGCAGGAAGCAGCCAGCTCGAGGGAGGGAAGTTTGTTGCCTCACTCCTGGCAATTCTGCGGGAGAGCTCCTGCCACATGGAGATATTAAGCCCTAAAACACCTCTCCTTATTGATTTCAGCCAGGAGAGGATCCTCAAACTTAGTTTCCATCTTCCTGGGCATGTGATTGATGTCACAGTCTCGGCACTGATTTACAGAAATAGCACAGCTTCTCTCTGAATAGCAGGTAAAAAGAAAAATCCTTTGAACTTTGTTTCAGGTTCCTTACAATTCGAAGCATCCTTCAGGTTATTTGTCCTAGAGCCCACTCTGGTTGCTCAAGATCCCTTTTTTAGAAACTTTTCTGGATGCACTCTGGTGTGCATTAACCTTTATAGTGACATCAGCAGAATCCATAATTGTGCATTAATCTCCTCAGCCACCCCTCCACCGAGATGAGCCGTACAGGTAATTATCTACCCTTGCTTGGAGCTGTCACAGCAGCCTCCCTGCCTATCCCATTAGCAACTCCAGCCCCTGAGCCTCCCATCACATCTCTGTTTTGCAGGGATCACTGCAGTGGGAGTTACCACCATGTCTTGCTGTTTTTTCAAGAACACCAAGATACTTCATTGCTCTTTCACACTGTTTATGAAAGAACATAGCTTACTCCTCACTGATTTATTAACTTTTCTGTGGAACTGGTTTTTAAATCAGCTTCCTGAGTATGAACCCAGCACAGATTTATTTTTTAATTCTCATCAAGAAGTTTTCCATCCACCTCCAGAGAGCAGGAAAGCAGCAAACTGGAGAAAAAAACCCAAACAACCAACATTAAAACCAGGAAGGACGATTCATCTTTTCTTCTTCACCAGCACAGGAAGGGTGACTCACCTTTTCCCTGCTCTCTTCACAACTTCCATGTTTCAGCCAGTCCATGACACTAAACAGTTTCTACTTTACACAGTAGCTGATTTCTGCTGCTGGCATTGCTGCTTTATTTTCAGATGCAGCTACGTGCCACTTGTCCTGCAGCTTCTGGTGGAGCTTCCCTCATGGGTTTCAATATTGCTGAATGGGATCAGAGGGGAACCATGAGATCCCAGGGCTGCAGGATGAGGGCATGGATGGTTGCCAAAAGTATTCAAAGAGGGAACAAGCAGGCACAGGGTGCATGAGAGGGATCTGTGACCGGATGTAACACCGGGAGGGGGAGTGTTTGGGCAGCAGCCAGAGACCTGGAAAACACTCAGGAGAAGAAAGGTCAGTAAGAATTTCTTTTAACTCTACGAAGAGCTTTCTTTTCAGATACAATATGGAGAAAAAATATTCCAATCCCCCTTTTTTTTGTTAGCAGACAGACTGTATAATGCAGTGAAATGTCTTAATTTTTGGTTAATACACCTAACAGCTGTAAATTCTTTCTCTTAAAGAAACCCTGAAACACCACCTATAAAGATTGCCCACAGGTAACTCACCAGCAAAAAACAAGGAGCAAAACCACATGTGAAGCCATCTCTTAAAAAAATCAAAACTGGTGCCAAATGGTATTAAAAGCCAGCCATGCAATAGTGATTAAGACAAATTACTGTTCAATACATCACAGGCTTCAAAGGGTTAATTACCTGGTTTTCATCTAAGCTTTCTCACACTTGATTTTTCTCATGATGCATTTGCTTGAGTGAAGCCCTGAGCCTGCCACCTGGATCTTGTTTAAAATGCCAGGTGAAGGCTGGGATTTGAGTTAGGAACTCAGCGATGCATCCATGGCCAGGAGTGCATCATCCCCCATCTCATACTTCACACAGTGTGACTTGCATAAAATTCCTGCCAAAAGTAAAAAAAAAACAAAAACAAAAAACAAAAAAACCAAAAAAACCCCAAAAAAAACCCAAACATAATTTAACCAACTGCTATGACCCAGACCTGACAAGTATATTCTCCTCTGCCTGTACTCCACCTGCCTCTCTGGGGTCAGACCAGAAACAGAAACCTCTGCTCCAACCACACCAGGACACTTCTCCCCTCCAAAGTTCTAATGCTGTAAACCAGACCAGCACTGCTGGAGTCTGAAACACAGAGTATGTGCCCTTGCAGAATTCTGATGCTTAGCTCTAAGATCCAGAAAAACACTGAATTTCATAGAACATGAAATTGATGAAAATGTTTTCACGGTGATACTTGAAAACAATTGTTAAAGCTAGATAGAAAAAGCCAAAAGTGTGAGCGTGTAGATTAGAAAGATTTCTTAAGTCACTGTGTGAAAAAGTTAAAGTTTAGAGTTTAAAATAGTTTAGAAAGCAGAAGACAAGATGGAGGATTTAGTGTTGTTTCTTTTACTTCTTCTTCTTCATGTTCTTCTAGAGGTTTTTGGGTAATAGTAGGTGATTGGATAGAAAATGCTGCAGTGCAGCATACAGGTGTTGGGTCATTGGGTCATTAAGAAAAATAATACATGTGTCTACTGTTAATTAGATAAGAATGAGTGTAAAGATAAAAGAACTGCGTGGTTTGAGGTTCAGGGCCATTTTGTATCTTCAAAGGCCTAAGTGAGCCACAAGGCCATTTTATACCAGCAGAAAGAAATGAGCCAGATTGCAGTGAATTGAACTTGTACAGATAGTCTGGAGAGACCTGCCAAGTTTTGTGATAACATCCTAATAAACATGAGAAACAAGATCCGAACGAGCTTTGGAGTTTTTGTCCTGACTCGGAGGACTGTGATAAGCAGGACTCCCCATGAGGGAGTATCCCCAAGGAGCTCAGCTCAGAGAAGCTGAGAAATCCAAGAGTGCAAAGAAGTGCAGAAGAAGCACAGCAGCAGAATCGAGAGAGAAAAAAATAAACAAAAAGAATTTTTTAAAAAGTTACACAGCACCATCAATGTCTTGTCAGATAATTGCTGTGAGGAACAATCTCTCTGGAGCTCCTAGAGCTGACAAACTGCTCTTTAATTCTTCCTTACACCTCAGATTTTTATTAGGATTTTTTGGCCTGTGCTGTCTGGACAGATTTGGATGTGGCAATGAGGGTTTTTTTTCCAACAGGCCACAGCCACTGGCACAAAAAAACCCTACTTGGTGATCGTGGCTCTGCAGCAATGCTTTGCCTTGGGCATAGGATAAATATTTATGTTTTAACCAAACAGTGGTGGGGTTACAAAGCCACTGGTTTCTGCAGAGAGACAACAAAGTCACAAGGGCCCATGTGAGGTTTGATAATGGTGGGAAAGGTTTGATAATGGTTAGGAAAGACTAAACTGGGAGTTTCCTGGGGAAAAACAATACCAGCTGAGAGTTGGGGCCCTCGTTTCCTGAACGATCAGGAGAGAGTCTGTTCTGCTCATAAAGACACCACATTTTTGACAACACTTCCCAGTAGTTCTTTTGTTTAATAATGGTGTAAATGAAGACAAGTGCCAAAAGTCCACCCTTCAACACAGGTGCTATTTTCAGAGATGTGAGGTTTGGGTCAGTACAGGGCTGGAGCACTGCACCAGCTGTAAGGAGTCAGTGCCTCAGGGTGGAGCTTACTCCCCCCTGTTCCTTGGGGAAGGCCAACACAGAGGCAAAACATGACAGACCATTCCTGAGGATGCTCCATTTCTGCAGGATGGGGCGGACCCATCACTAGCAAAGCAAGGGAAGCTCAGCCAGGAAGAGCAGAAAACATGGGAAG